GACCAAAATGCATCTTAATACCAGGTGTATACAGGGTCTTGGTTATGTTTCATGCATAAATTTGTGTCATGCATGAATTTATAGAAACAACATGTGTAAACAACATTTGGTACTTCATTGACAAAAAAGCAGCATAAACATTCTTCAAAATATGTTTTTTTTTTTTTATGTTCAACAGAATAAAGTCTGAGTGAGGGTGGGTAAATAATTGCTGCATTAACATTTTTGGGTAAATAGTCCACTTAACTTAATCTAGATGTACTGGCAACCAAACCACAACATATGCTGGACTGTTCCACAGAGCTGAGCATTTGTTCTAAAGTAAACTTAGTTGCCATTCCTCACACAGCTGTTCTGGCGGTGTCTCATTTGAATGTTATCACTTTTGAACCTCTCTGGCTCTTAATAGAAAGGGAAACGCTGAGGGAATGTAAATGCACCAGTGTTCACCGGCAGTTATTGAACACAGTGATTTAATCAGTGCAGCATAACATTGCTGTAGCTTGATTGAATTGTTGCTTACAGCTTTTGCTCAAGCACTTTGGTAAATTCCTGACTAATTTTTCTCTCATATTTACAAATTTTTATTTTCTTGTTTGAAACATGATGTTTTATTTAAACTAATTGCCCATTTGCAAAAAAAGTAATCACAATGTGTATAATTTGCACAAAACACCCCGCAGGTGGCTTGCTGATATAAATCAGACTGATACTTATCAAAATTTTCATTGCGTGTAAACCATAACATGCAAAATGATCTAAATGTATGATTAAATTTAACTCGAGGATACAGTTTCAGTTCACAAAAAATATTTTAAGCACTTCAGCTATACCTGCCATTAGATATTAAAATATTGCATAAAACATTTGCAAATAAAATCCTCACTTACTGGAAAACTCTTTCTATAACTACTAACATTTATGCAGGCAGAGATTTCACTTTAGCTGTTTTTTTATATCTCCATAGTAAATAAGTTTCATATCTGAGCCTTAAACAACTTGCAATAACAATCCCTGTCATGTTATTTTGCATTTGGAGTCCACTAGTTAGGCTGTTTAGACTTGGATGACTTATAATTTTCTTGGATAACCAATATCTTTAAGACTAAATTCAGAATAAAAACCTTCTCAGAGGTCTTGCTAATTGGACCAAAAATCTCTTGCACAAAAACTTAGAATACTGCCTAACGCCTGTTTCACACTGCAATCGCAAGCAGAGCGTGAGCAGCACATGCACAGCACGTATAGAGAGCAGAAGCAGTGCGCAGGAATTTGCTTTTCACACCGACTGCGTCTGCAGTGCGCAGCTGCTGCACAGATCAATCAATCTCTGTCTATTCTATCTAGTTAACTATCAATCTATAAATACACTTTTTTTTAACTTTTCATCTGCACCAAGGCCTGCGGCAACTTCCCCCTATGCTGTTTCCTAACCTGCATTTATTTATTTTACAAATTATTTAGATCCTAAAGAACTGTATGCTTCTCATGCTCTAAGGAGTGTCATTCATTGTTTTGCAAGTGCACTCGGTCAGAAGACAATCACTTGTGATATAATGTCTTTTTGTTTTTAATTTTCACTATGTAGGCCTATAGTTATAATAATATTTACACAATATAGTAATAATGATATTTGTACATGATCAAACTAGTGTGCAACTTAAGCAAAACTAATACTAAAATTGTTTTAAATTTGGTCTTGTAGTTTGGGTCATTTTTAATCGTTTAAATTGATTTGATTGAATATATGAAAATCAGTGGATATTATTGATGCTTTACTTGGGTAATATTGCTACTTTTTATTATCATTCAATGTGTTTTTGGTCATTATCAATGCACTGTTATTTTAATTGAGCCTCGCGCTGACACACTGCTTCTGCGTGCAGTATGAAAGCTCTAATCTGTTAAAATTTACGCTGAAACAAACATGCACTGCTCAAACTCTGCTCACACTTGCGGTGTGAAACAGGCTTAACTCTTGATTAATGTCCTCATAGAGCCTTTTCTGGGTTTCTCAGTAGTAGAAGGTGTTATTGTTAGGTAAACTTAAGAGCGCAGTGAATCAGAAAGTACAAGAAATACTTATTTACAATCATATTTACGATGGTGTTATCAAGACTTCTAGAAAAAGAAAAAAAAATTAAGACTGATGACGGCAGTTAGAGGAGAGAATAAAGTCAAATGAACTCTCAGCCCCATAGACGCTGCATTAGAAACACATTGCATAAGTGGCAATTTGTTCTTTGTAATTTGACGTAGAAATTATATAACACATTTATAAATCCATATAAATGTTCATATGTTAAAAAAAAATTATATTAAAAACTTTCAAGGATTTAAAATTATGATGACCGTTATAAAGAGTCATAATAGTCTTTTGAAGAGAGTCCATTGTCAGTTAAAAATTTGGGGGTGATATTTGATATCCACATATCAAATGAAGGCAACATTTCAAGCATCTGTAAAGCTCTCCCAAAAAAAGACACTGGAATTTGAATGGCATTTATGCTCATATTAGTCCGTTTTCCTTTTTTAGGGGTTCACCTTATCATGCATCCAGCTTGTTGAGTCTTGTTATACAGATACTGATCTTTACAATACGTTTCCCTTGCAGTGTACTGAGCTTTGCTTTGTTTTGTTTGTTTTATGCACTGCAAAAACTGAAATCTAAGAAAGTAAAAAAATCTTATTTCAAGAAAATGTGTCTTGTTTTTCTGCTATTGAAGATAAATTGTCTTATAAAATACACTGTGGAGTAGACTATAAGTCTTAATTTAAGAAAACCGATCTTCTTCTGGCTAGGCAAGTAAATGTTAACTAATTTTAAGCAAGATTTTACTAGAAACAAGAAAGAGCTATAAAGCCCAAATTTGTGCACGTTCAATAAGATAGTTGTGCTATTTTTAAGACTAATACACCACTAAAATTTCTAATTTTAAGAATATTAAAAAAATATTGTTTTAGATTAGATTTAATTTTTCATACAATTTTGTGTGGGTGAGACTGTCTGTTTTTGAAAGAAAAATTGCTGTCAACAAACACTTGGCTTAAAAGGATTTTAATTCGTATTTCGTACTGAAAAAAAATGCAAAAGTTGTATCAACAACAAACTCATTCAACATTTGTATTCACATAATTTATGTAAATGCACAATCACTTATAACAGATTTCTTCCTGTCAAAATGGACAGCACTTTACAAGTATTAAAAAATTAACCTAAGGAATATTCTGCATTCATTACAGGTTACCCTTAATTAACAGCATTTGTTGCATAATGGTGATTATCACAAAACATTAACTTTCACTTTTTCTGGAAAAATAATATTATACGCCACACCACACAGTGAAACACGAAATTAGAATGCGCACGTTGAAATAAAATAAAATAATCATCATCATTGATCCTGCCACCTTAAAGCTCTCTTAATAAATTAAGTTAAATAACTAATAATTATAAAATGGTTTTATTATTACAATAATATAAATATATATATAATTTCCTGTCTAGCAGTTTAAAGGCTACCTGCTCTTTCTGGGAAACTTCTACATAGCTCACTTATTTTACCTTTTGTTTTTTTCAACACAATCTTTTTGGATTAAAATGCTTTTTTTTTTTAAATGCATTTATTATCCAAAATAATCTCATTTATTAAGACCTAATCAAAACACCTTGTTTTGCTTTTTACATTGGAAATTTTTATATCTATAATTGTACATATATGTACCTTTTTTAGCATATTCAAACAAGAAGTATTAGCCTAAAGATTGATGTTTAACTCCTAGAATTTATGCTTATTGCTTTGTATTTAATAGACCTGTTCGTTTTTATGTTTATATTAACCTCTCATTTCCTCTTATTTCTCTCATGCATTTGTTATATTTTTTATTCATAATTCTCTCCTATTGTTTAAAAAGGAACTATAGTTTATAGAGACTGTATTTTGTTTTATTTGTAAATGTTTTGTTGTTATAAATAAAAATAACAAAAAAAAAATATGATGACGCCATGTGATCGGTCATCATGACTGCAGCAACTTTTTGAGTCCCGAAGTGTCCAGCTGTCCGTCTTGACGGCTCCGTTATCAACTCCGCCCCCGCCTGCGCTCGGCTAATCTCGTTGATCACCGGCTGCAGCTGAGCTTCATGTCGAACGCACCTAGACCGTGACGCATTTACGTTAAGACGCATGCGCACTTACAGCGCGCCAAAGGGAAGTTAGGAGAAACAGGTACTTCCTTGCGCCAGTTTCTCACCATGGATGGGCTCGACGACGTTGCGATTTCCACTCTAAAAGGTTAGTAATTTTTTTTAAATCACTTATTTGTTTCTTATGATAAATTTGAGTTTGATTTTAATGTAATATGCAATGCTTTCTACCGAGAAAAAACAAAACAAAAGCACGTCTTTGTAATCGAATGAAATTAAGGATCGATCCTTAAGTTACAACATGCACTCAGAATGATTTTATTTAAATGTAGATACACTTGTATTTATTATTGTATAGTAACATAAATTGTTGTTCTGCTGTTGTACAATACTGGGTGCTATCAGGCTGCTATTAAATGAATCACAACTCCTTTTTTTCACAATACCTAATGCTAACAAAAATAACTTAGTCAAGTGTTAAAGGATCTTTTATCATTATTGCCTGTTTGTTTTACTACATTCAGACATTTCATATTTGAAAGAGTAGGCCCAAACACAAAGAGCCTCGGCTGGGTCAGTTGTCATTTCTGTGTGGAGTTTGCATGTTCTCCCCGTGTTTGTGTGGGTCTCCTCCGGGTGCTACGGTTCCCCCACAGTCCAAATACATGTGCTTTAGGTAAATTGGGTAGGCTAAATTGTCCGTAGTGAATGAGTGTATGGATGTTTCCCAGTGATGGGTTGCAGTTGGAAGGGTATCCGCTGTGGAAAACATATGTTGGATAAGTTGGCGGTTCATTACGCTGTGGCGACCCCAGATTAATAAAGGGACTAAGCCGAAAAGAAAATGAATGAATATTAATTTCAAAATTTACTAATGCATTACTAAAATCAAAAACACAAAATATACATAAGCTATGTTGTCTAATGTACTGTATTTGCATGTGTTCTAAGCTGCTAACATTGGGGAAGACATTTTGCCATCTCTCTCGCGAGAGGATATCCGAGATCTCTTTCCTGGTCCTGAGCACTTCCTGCGGCGCAAAGGTATTTGGCGTTTGACTCATAAGGAAGAACAGGTAATTAATTTCAAACACTTGTATATTGGATATTTTTAATCTATTAGTGGGCATAATTTCAGTACAGATTCATGTGATTTTCATTTGTGTTTTATTGTGTTTTAGGAGCACATCATTCCTGTTGAAGGTTCATCAGCAGATGATAAACATACTGAAAGTTCAAAACAAGATGACCCCAGTACATCAAAGTTTTTAAAGTTACCCAGCCCAGAATATGTTCTCTTCACTGACAGTGAACTACAACAGATGAGACGCACATACTTTGAGCAGCAGCGTCTTGGAAAAGAGGGTGACGTCACCTTATCAAAGGAGCTATTCTGCCGGCTCATCCGAAATACCATGACAAACATGGTATCAATAGCAAGAGCATCTTCAGATGACTACAAATATCCCACTAAACATGAAGTTATTGCCATGGCAAAACGGTTAGTGGAATACTACCCTATGATAAAAGATAAGTCAACTGGATCTAGGCACGAGTGGGTGAGTGACATCATTTACTTAATTATTGAAAAAAAACATTGTTTTGTTGCTAACATGCTTTTATTCTGTTGTACAGGACACTGTTGCTAAAAAGCTCCTGAAGCGACTTTCAAATATCCGAAGTCCCATGAAGGCCAAACAGCCTCCTTTCAAAAGAGCACGTCAGGACAAAGAACCTTCCGCTGCTGTGGCAAGTGACTATGATGCTGATTCCAGTGCTTCAACAGTCATTCTGTCATCGCCTTCAAGTTCAAGCACCCCACGGCAAGAAAATGACAGCATTGATGAAGCATGTAAGTACATTAAAATTTACTTTAAAATAAAGTAGTCAGTAGGGATGCTCATTTCGGTTAACTTTGCCAACCAGCTCGTTAATCGGATATAAATGGTTAACTGGTGAGATTAATATAAAATTATTATTATTATTATTTTTAAACTGAAGTGTCTATTTTGTGTCTGACACATTAAATATTGCTATTTAAAATACTGATTTATTTTAACATGCGAACATGTTAATAACAGATCATAACAACAGAACATCTTCACGCACCTGCCATCTTTCCAACAGGAAAAGGAAAGGAAAATGAATAAAATAAGTAGGCCTGCCCTAATTTTTCATTTAAATTATTAATTTATATTACAAAAAGAAAACACTGACTGAATCCTTTTAAAGAACCGGCATAGGCTGTTTTTTTCCAATCATGTTTTTTTTTTCTTCCGTCAAAAATAGCAGACTTCCTCAAATCGCTCGCTCCACGGAAAATATGCATTTATTTAATGCCCTGCTGTTATTATAATCATAAAACATTTTTAATAGAAATCATTATTGTTAAGATTATATATTGATATAATGTTCTCTCTCTCTCTCTCTCTCTCTCTCTCTCTCTCTCTATCTCTCTCTCTCTCTCTCTCTCTCTCTACCGTAATAAAAATATGCTTAAATGAAAATAATGAAAAGACAATGACAACTCGCACATATGTTGACTTTTTGTGAACAGTATTGCTGTTTTTTTCCCCTTTCTAAAAACACCTTTTATGTTGACAAGGAAAAAAGAAGTGCGCCGATTTCCTCTGCTTGTGCACAAAACTTCTTGCACACCCCTCAAATATAACTTACGATGGTCAAGCGCGGATCTTTTGGTGCGCTCTCAAATAAACACTGCTGAAGTGCGATTTAGTGCGTTTATGTAGAGAGTATGTCTAAAACATTTATTGGATTTGCTAGGAATATTTCAGAATGTCTCCAATAAACTTAGAGCGGCATTAATGTGTCCTGAAGTAAAGTGAAACAGCTATAAACTCCAGCAAGATAAAGTCAGTGTATGCAGAACCACAGGCCATCTATAAATAAATGAAAATTATTGAAACTGTGTTCATCCTAACTGAAAGCTACGTCGTGTTTGCTGGCTTCACGCATCACGCACCTGTCAGTCAGTCAATCAGTCAGTCTGTCAGCACACAACCTTAAAGGGTTTAACAAATAGCGCACATCACCGATACAGAAAAGTTTGCGCTGTTATAATTCACTTTCCTTTTAATATGTTTTGGTGCGATTATAACCCGCTATTAAAAAATAACCCGCTATTAAAAACAACAACAACAACTAAATGATTTGAATAGGAAGCTGTAATGTAGCCGTGAAGGGATGCATTTTGGTGTCGCACCCCGCCATAGAAGAATGAATGTAACGGGATCCATGCTCTTTAAAAGTTCTCTGTAGTTGTCTTGACAACACACACACTGCTGCTCTGGGTTGAGCCGCGTGCAAAACACTTGCGGCTTTTAGTAAACCATTCAAAAGATGCCCCTCTTAACGCAAAAAACGCATTCGATTGGCCCCTTATGCAGCTAAACTAAAAATATATAAAATAGTATTTTTTAATTGTTTAACTGATACCATACACATGATACAAACGCATCCTTTCGGTTAACGGTTAATCGATTACTTTGAGCATCCCTAGTAGCCAGACATGTCACTTCCATGGGACATGTTCTGGCCATGATTTTTATATTTTTATATATATATGTGTGTGTAATACATAACATCTTATTTGGTGATATATGCATGCCGAATTTGTTCTATTTGTAACGTAAAATACATTATTCAATTGTTGATTTCTGTGCATCTTGTTCAGTAATTATATTGTATGGCTAAATTGCAGCTGATGGTCCTGACAACAGCCTTGACAGCCAGAAAACCCAGGCAAGACATTACAGGACCCTACAAGAAATGTACAAAGCAAAGAAGCCAAATAAAGCTGCTGTAACCCATCTATTAGACCTGGAGTTCCAGTCCAGAAGAAGTTTCATTGACTCAAATGTATTGAAGGAGCAAGACAAACCCACAAATATTTTGCAAGCGTACCCCTGCTTCAAAGAATTGGACCATGTGGGTACACGAATGCTTACATTTTAGACAGATGTAAAACATATTAACACATATCCCATATCCTCTGCCTAACTGCAGACAGCCAAATAATTTTGTTTTTAATAATAAATAATTCTTTCAGGCAATGGATGAACTACGAAGAATCATTGAGCCAAACAACTCCAAATACATTTCTGAGGTGAAGGACAGGTGGGAGACCTTCTACTCCAAGGTTCAGTTTTATGGAGTGATGAAAAAAGTCATGAAGCCTCCAAGGACATTAAATGGAGGTAAAACTTTAATTTAATTTGAATCTGTATAGATCAAGGGTTCTCAACTCTGGTCCTTAAGGTCCAGTATAACTCCAATCCTAATTAAACAAACCTGAGCTAATCTGTGTTTCCAGTTTCTAACAAAAATCTACAGGCTGGTGACTTTAGAGCTAAAGGTTGGAGCTGGCCTGTAATCTCAAGGGCCAAGTGTTGAGAACCCTTGTTATAGATCAGTTATTTTTTTAATTCAAGAAGTTTTCTGTTTTCAGTTGAAAACAATGTTGTGTAAACAGTCCCTTAATTCAGGTCTCCAGGATCAGAAACCAGTGGTATAGATTATTCCCATACATCTACAGTAATATCTGATGTTAATATCTTTTTTTTTTTTTTTTACTTATCTAGTTGAACATGCCATTGCTGTTTTTACTGCCCTACCGCTGCTCTTCCCATCTGGGTCTGCAGCACCGAAGAAACAGGTCCCAATCAGTGAGGCTCTTTTCCATGTTCTGACGGTGAGTTTTACTTTAAGTAGTGATAAGTTAATAACAGGTGACTACATTGTCAATAAAATACTAAGTTAAAACCATCCCAATTGCACTACGTAAAATTGGACATGCAATGTAACAACTAACCTAAAGGTATTGTAGAAATTTTTTTAATTATGTCTTGATTTACTTAATCACAACCTGCTGAACACAAAAGTAAGATATTTTGAAGAATGTTGATACGCCAACCCAGATCTGTTGGGTTGGCATTCACTTCCATTGAAGAAAAAAAAATATGGAAGTGAATAGTGACCCAGATCTTATATTAATTTTTGCTGTGTTTGTAGTCTGAATTCTGTATTTTTGTTATTTGGTTTTCTAGCCCTCAGAGGACCCGGATACCTACATCCACAGGCGTGCATTTTCCAGTCCTGTCTTGCTGGTTGGTGAGGAGAACTGCATGGTGGTTGTAGGTACAACCCCAGTTCTAACATTTGACAAAGACTTGCTCTATGAGGGGCCTCTCTACCTCCTGGCCTATTACTATGCATTTCATCTCACATATCCAAAGTGTCTTGCAACACTCCTGTCTGTGTTGCAAACACAAGTTCTGAGAGATGTCATCCACGAGCAGGATGAAACCCCCTCGTACAAAAAGGCCATTCATGAATGGAGAATGTTTGTTGACTAATTGCTGTTTCAAACTGCTGTGGCTGAGAGACAGCTGCATATTTTTTTTTCGGCCATTATATTTGCACTTGATTTGTGCTGTTAGGAGATTTTCCCCATTTTCAGGAGATTAAATGTATCTAACATACAGTAATGCAGCACAGCAAAACCAAAAAAAGTAATTGCTGTGTGTAACTTTACAGGACTGCTGAGGGTATACAGTGTTGTTTTGTGCCAGAGTATATTTTTTGTTGTTATTATTAACGTTGGACTGTTCATCCTGTTTTGCTGTACCTCAGTTGTTTAAGAGGAAAATGTTCATTTTTGAATCTGCCATGGATTCAAGGCATTGTTGACCCAAACTTCAATTACTTCTTAATCTTATGTTGTTTCAAACCTGTTTTTTTTTTTCTTTTGGCTACAGAAGATATTATTTAGAATGTTGGGAACTGTTGATGGTAGCTATTGACTTTCATAGTATTTTTTTTTATTTATTTTGTATATTTTTCTTGCTATGAAAGCTGGCAACATTCTTCAAAGTGTCATCTTCTGCAAAAAAAAAAACTCATAAGGATTTGAAGAACATAAGGGTGAGCATGATAATTATTTGATTTTTGGGTTGCTATCATGTTACGAAGTAAATTGATCCAGGCTGTTTGAAGCTTAAATGCTGTTTGAGTTTGTGTAGACTGAGGCAAAGCATTTTGCATAGAATACTTGCGGTTTCTGTGCCAGGTATTTTATTTCATTTTAAAGTGTAAGCTTGTCTTTGCTTATCCTGCCTTATGCTCCATTTGTTTAGAATTTTAAAGAATGTTCTTTAATAAATGTTCAGCAAAGCTGGAAGTTGTTTCTTCACTTAAAGTGGGGGAAGGTGTGGGAGGTATTTTCTTTTAAGAGTTTTAATCTCATTTAGGTTTTTGTGTGATTTAAAAAAAAAATCTAAATAGGCTGGATTTAAGGTAAACTATTCTGCTTTCAATGCATTTTCCCCCTAAAATTATTATTGTCGTGCTTCAAAAAAGAGAAAACTGCTCAATTTTAAGCTTATTTGTCTAGTTTTAAGAACTAACTGTAGATTTACTGACTAGATTTAAGTTCAAATATTCTAGTTTTAATGCAATTTGTTCTAGAATTATTCATGTTCAGTGCTTATAAAAAGAAAAAAACTGCTTAATTTTAAGCTTGTTTGTCTAGTTTTAAGAACTAACTCTAGATTTACTGACTAGATTTAAGTTAAAATATTCTAGTTTTAATGCAATTTGTATTAGAATTGATAATATTCAGTGCTTATAAAAAGAAAAAACTGCTTAGTTTTAAGCATATTTGTCTAGTTTTAAGAACCAACAGTGTTTTTAATGCCTAGTTTTAATACAATTTTCACTTATTTATGTTCTATTAAATTCTTATAAAAAGCTAAAATGCCTAGTTTTAAGAATTTGTGTCTAATTTTAAGATCAATAGAAATGTATTATCGTCTAGATATTAATGCTATTTTCAAGAATTCTTACCAAGTCAAATTTGCTTACCCCATTGGCAGATTTATTTGCTTGATTTTGTTACACTTTAACTAGATTTAAGTCATTTTTGCTTGTTTCAGGAAGGGCATTTTTTGCAGTGTGTTGTCTGCTGCTTGCTTTTGACCATCCGCTTGTTTATGACCACATCTCTGGATTTGCCTGTATATATCTGTTTGTTTCTGTGTTGACTGTTGCTTGCCTGACCGTGCTCTACATAATAAACCCTGCATTTGGATCCACACTTCCTTGTCAGCGTCCAACTTCACATTACACCAGCCTGTACCCAGTGCAGATGGAGTCTGAAAGAGACTGAGCCTGGCTTCTCTCAAGGTTTGTTCTTCACTTCCCAAATGTTTCAAAAAATTTTCAAATCCAGAGAAATAGACAACTTTACCTAGAAACACGGATCATGTCCTTCTGTATTGCCTTACTAATGACCACATACTCCCTCGATCTTCAGTTTGGTTTGATAGAAAACAGGGAAACATGAAAGACTTCATTAGACTGCACAAAGCAGCATTATAATATAACATTACAATGTATTTATCATGATAAAACAGCACTGATGTGATCACAATCAACTCTGGCATAATAAAAGCTCAGCTGGTTTCGTGATGCATCGCGATAGTCTCTCATCAGCAACTGCATCAATGGTCTCATTTCACTTCAACAGCTTTCAGTCTAACTCTGCCTCTTACTACTATACCATACCATACCATACCATAAAACCTTTGAATACATAAGCTAATCCATAAACATGATTTCTGAAGGAATCTTGTAGGATATAATGAAGACGACAACTTCCATGACCAGTCATCATCAACCTACATTTTTGTTTGTTAAGAATACATGCCCTCTAGTGGTGAAAATTACAAACTGTTTTTATTAAATCCTTAAATGTCCAAAAAAGTAAGTAAATGCAAACACATTGCTATATGTTGAGTGGCACTTCAGCAGATTGCGGTATATCCTAATACAGGCTTTCATTAAGATGGCCAACACACACAAGTCCATTAGATCCTGCAGGGAAAGACAAATTACTAAATTAGATGCTCACATGTTTAATTGGCGCCCTCTAGGCTGTTAACCTATGCACATCCATTAGTTCAGTCTTTGTGCTGGTTAACCACAATGCAAAGTGGCTGATCAATACACATCGGAGCATATGAAAACAGTCATTTATATGCATAAAGCGAATGTGGAGATTTAATTTCTGTCTGAATAAACTGAGATGGAATGTCTAGGTATAGGATAAGAGAACAATGAATGCTGTAGCCTACAAATATACAAAGGAGAATGCAATCCTGTCAGGAAAATATACTATTTCTCCATTTCATTTGGAGATTGGGGGAAGATGGTGATGTCAGCTCCATTACGCTTTGGGCCTAAGATTTAAAAGAGAAAGATTAAAATCGCAAGTTGAATGACTTTATGAATTTTACTTTCAGACACAGTTTGTTCACTGACCATCTGATGAATAAAAAAAAGAAAATAATAAGCACTTACTGACACCATCTCCAAAAATTTCCAACTGCAATAAGTTGACTTTAGGCAACTTCTGTAAAGTTAACCCTCATGGTTGACATCACATTTAAAAGGGTGGTCCACTATGAAAACATATTTTAAACTTTAGTTCATGTATAATATAGCTGTGTGAACATAAACAACATCTCCGACTGTAATCTGCTCAAAGTTCAATCCAAAGGGAGACACTGGCTTTTACAGAGTTATGCTCATTCACCATACGCATACACCCCGCACAGCAAAAGGGTCGTGGCCAGAGGTGCTGTAATGTTATAGCAGAGAAAGCTACAATGCCGTCCAAATTCTGTTTCTGTACAACTTATAAATAATTGATTAAAAATATACATATACATTATAAATTTTAACTTAGAAATTATATTATACATTCGTTTCAATGTGTGTTGTTTCAAAGAATAGTTTGCATCTATATAGACAGATGGACAGACAGATGAACAGTAGCATGAGTATAAGCAGTTAAATGCATTTAAATAAACACTTTTGACATTTGTGCCGCACATAAGTAAAGTGGCTAAAATAATACCAATAAAAGCATGTTCTTGCACTATGTGCCACTTCAGTGACATTATTCATCCTCAGGAAGGATCCTCAAAGGGATGATGGCTACTGAAAAGGCAATAGTAGAGGACTCTGACAGGCAGAGCGAGTTCTTACATTCAGGAAATTCAAAAGGCACAAAGCTCACGTCCCACTGCAGCCTCCCATCCACATCCCTCCATGCTGGCTTTATGTCTACCAGCAGAAATGAGTCAACAATTTAGCCTGGCAAACACCCAGGGACAACACAGTGCCAGGACTGGATTGACCTTGGCCAGTGCCAGCAAAGGTGCCAGCACTTGGACTCTGTGACAGACTGCTGTTAAGTGAGGTGTGCCAAGCTATACACTGCCGCTCGCTGACATTTGGGCACACGAACAGAAGGACGGACTGTTACATTACTGTCAAGTGTGTGTGTGTGTGTTTCAAGGGTAGACACTGAGCTTTTTCTCCTGGGAAACACAACTACAAAATGATATGAGGGAATGCAAAATGATGGTGTGTTGCATGGCTAAATCAGATGGAGATTATAAAGATAGATAGACAGACAGACAGACAGGACACAGTCTTACCATTGCTGAACCTCCTTTTCTGTAACTGTAAGGGAAAAGAGAGGAGAACAAATTAGATTTTTTTCCACAATCAACAGGCATAATTTGCCAACCAAACTGAGCTAAATGATCTATATACGTTAACTGCCTTTTGTAAATCAACTCATTGTCTTATTGTTTATGGGCTTCATAAAGTCATTGACATCAATTTACCATTTAGCTGATAATCTAGCATAAGAGAGCAGCAGAACAATTATTAAAGCAACACTGAAGGGCTAAATGAATAACAATATAAGAGAGAAGCAGACATTGAGGGTTTGTGGTGGTTTGTTGTTCATCCCAGGTGGTGAATTATGCAGGCCTGTGATCAATACTTAACAACAAATACCTTGATAACAAAACATTTTACTTTTATCTCCACATTCTGAGAAGCAACATTCAGAACCGGACCCAAGGAGCCCCACCAGCCTAACAAAGGCCTTTTACACTAATGCGTTTTAGTTTGAAAATACATAAGTTTTGCTACGGTTACGCCATCCATCCACACTACGCCGGCGTTTTTGAGCGCCGAAAATGGAGCATTTTGGAAACGCTGAAGAGGCCGTTTTCATCCTAAAACGCTGCTGCTCTGTCTCAGTGCTGGATGGGGAAAATGGGGACATCTGAAAATGGAAGCGGTTCTGCCGACATTCGCCTCTCTGATTGGGGCTTTTCCTCAGTATTAAGTAGCCTACACACAATTAAAGTTCTGCATCTTCTCCTTGTAAGATCAGACTTTGCAAATTTGACATGGAAAACAGACTCCCGAGAACATATCGGGAAAATCTTCAAAGGGAACAGTGCACTCGATAACCTTATTCACATCACCATGGCTACATTGTTTCACTTTCTTAACAATAAAACAAAAACATGAGAGAACTGCTATTTTCATTTTGATATTAACAACTTAACAGACAGCAGAAATGTTGAGGCGTTGTATTGCATATATGAGCGTCATCTTCACTGTATGCGTATTAATAACAAAACGAAGCCTAACATCACTGCCTCCTTTGATTTTTATTCAAATTACAAAACACACCCTCTCTTTTGCTGAATATTAGTTTTAATAATCAATAATGGCCATAAAAGTATAACGTACAATAAGTTTATACAATATAGAAAATAAAGGCAAGCAATTACTCAATATACAGAATGTACATGGTTAGATTAATTATTAATTTATCTTTGCGCTCAGCCAAAACACGTTACCCGAGAACAAGTAATAGATTCAAAAGACCAAAGTCTGGGAATATGTTGTTAGATACAGACAACAAGATTAACTAAATATCTCGTTTAGCAAATATAGTGAGATTAGATCCAGCAGGAGATGCTTGATGAACACTCATCTTGGTAGATGGGCTGCAGCGCATGCCAGAGAGTGCGTGTGTGGTGACGAGATGTGCGTTTCATTTTCAGCGTTTTGGTGTAGACGTAGAGCTGTTCAGAAACGCTGGGTTAAACGCTAGTGTGAACGCGGATCGTTTTCATTCTAAAACGACGTTTTACCCTTTACTAGTGTAAACGGGGCCTCATAAAGCATTGGTTTGCATCTGTTCCTAGGAAAGGAACTAGAAGTTAAAAAGTTTTGCAATGTTCTTTCTAACTCATATTGTATTTTTGTTCATATATCTTTGATTTTCATGTGCGAGGGCAATCAATTTAAACCGAATTAATGTTAGCTCATAAAAGTTAGTTACTATTTACTCACCCTGAATTGGTTCCAAACCTTTATGATTTTATTATTTTTACTGATTTTTAGCTTACTTCAAAATATCTCCTTTTGCATTGAAGAGTGAACCCTTGAAGGGAAAGTAAATAATGACAGATTTTTTTTTCAGCTTTAAATAATCTAGTTCCTGTTTAACCTATTTAACCACCCTTCTGTCTCGCTACAATCCAACCCGCTTTTTAACATCTCAAAACTCAGGGCTTCTGGTAGTTACCAGAATAGCAAAGTCCACTAAAGAAGATTGAGCCTTCTCATTTATGACTCATAAACTCTAGAATAGCCTTCCTGATAATATCCAAGGCTCAGACACACTTTCACAGTTTAAACTACTAGATTAAGGATCTATCTCTTTAGCAAAGCATAGACACAATGCATCACATAATGGTATGATGCATGAATGTGCTCCACGCAGGTGAGTGGGCTTGACAAACATCTTGTAGGACACACTTCTCCTTTCTGAATGCACTAGACATTTAGTTAGAAACACTCATAAGCTTTACATGTTTGTTTGTATAACTACTATTTCATTTATAGTACTTCATTTTTGCATCTTGTTTAAATACAAAATAAACAACAGCTACGCTCATTTTTTTCTTTATTCTCTATTTCCACCTGGTGATACTCATCCAGAGGCCTCTAGAGATTATACAGCACCATTGATGCGACCCAAGACCTGTGAAGAAATTATGCCAAGGTTTCCAAAATCATGGACCAGGCCGTATCTTTTGCATTCAAAAGAGTGAACAAGTTAAGGGAAAGTAAACGATGACAGATCGTTTTTTTTCAGTTTTGGGTGAACTATTCTTTTAATACAAAAAAAGCATCAGATTTTTTTACATGACTTGAGAGAAATCTCTAGATTGTTGATATACATACACAAAACAACTTGTAAATTGTAAATAAATAAATACAATTATTTGAAGTTAATAAAACAGATCATTAACAAAATGTCCATTCCCATGTGTTATTGTCACGGTCGTGGTGGGGAAAAGGAGCGAGGACTCAAGTGCAAAGAAACAATGGGTATTTATTAATAATAAAATAAAAACAAAAGGCAAAACAAAACCACCCCGAAGGGGAAAACATGAATACAAAGGCAAAAACAAACTTGACAGGGCTGGCAGGACAAGACAGGGCTGGACACAACAAGACAGGAAACCAGCAACGACGAACTGACAAAGGACTGAAAACATGAGGGGGATTATAAAGCAAAAAAGTAAATTGAAACACAGGTGAACACAATTAACTAAATATGGGTTAACAAGGAGGGTGGGACTAGACAATAGACGGGAGAGCGCATGACACAGAGAGACAATACAAGCCATGCGCTCACATAACACAACACTGAAGCACACGACAAAAGCACGTGACCAATGTAAACACCGAGCCATGTGCTTTGACAAAAGACACAAGACACGAGCACACGATGAATGAAAACACTCACCATGCGCTCACATATGCAGCATGCATGCTTCATCCCAGCGCCGACCAAAACCGAAACCAACAAGACTGAGACGCTGGGAATGAAACACCATGCTGCTGACAGACGAAAACACAAACACGAGTACAAGAGCGCACGCGTCTGAGGGACGCAGAGCGCGCACGCGGCCGCGTCAAGCAGAAGCGCGCACACTCTGCGTACACCCACGACGGCGCGCGCGCACACAGAGACAGAAACAGGACCGGACATGGGTAGTGTCAGAGCTCTGCCACCAAAACAAGAATTTACAAAGACCAGAGTGGCAGAACCCTGACACTAGCCCCCCCCAAAAGGGACGCCACCTGGCGTCCCTAAAGGGAACATCCAACAAGGTACAAGACAGACAAGAAACACTACAAGACAACAAAACAGGCAACATCAACAGACACAAGACAGGGGGGTGAACAGGCAAGACGACATGAAGGGGGGGAGGGAGGGAAGCCAAGCCGGACTCAACAAGACAAACAAGGGAGGGATGGGAGGGCAAGACCAGGGAGGATCAGGAGGGACAGTCCAGGACAGGTGCAATGGGTCAGGGGCCCCGGCAGGGAACCAGAGTGGAGCCGGAGGATCAGTCCAGGGTGGCAGAGGCATGCTCCAAGGTGGAGCAGGAGGGACAACCCAAGGAGGATCGGCCTGGGATACCAAGGCAGGAGGCCTGTAGGGAGCTGGCTGGGATGAAGGCCTGTGGGGAGCCGGCTGGTCTAGAGGTGACTTAACTAAAGCCGGCGGGGCTGAAGACCAGAGGGGAGCCGGCGGGGCTAGGAGCCGGGCTGGGGCCGGCTGGGCAAGACGTCTGGGGTGCGCTGGCAGGGCAAGGAGCTGGGCTGGGGCCGGCAGGGCAAGACGTCTGGTTGGGGCCGGCAGGGAAAAGAGCCGGGCTGGGGCCGTCAGGGCAAGGAGCCGGGCTGGGGCCGGCAGGGCTAGACGTCTGGTAGGTGCCGGCAGGGCAAGGAGCCGGGCTGGGGCCGGCAGGGCTAGACGTCTGGTAGGTGCCGGCAGGGAAAGACGTCTGGTAGGTGCCGGCAGGGCAAGGTGCCGGGCTGGGGCCGGCTGGGCAAGACGTCTGGGTGGCGTCGGCAGGGCAAGGAGCCGGGCTGGGGCCGGCAGGGCTAGACGTCTGGTAGGTGCCGGCAGGGAAAGACGTCTGGTAGGTGCCGGCAGGGCAAGGTGCCGGGCTGGAGCCGGCTGGGCAAGACGTCTGGGTGGTGCCGGCAGGGCAAGTAGCCGGGCTGGGGCCGGCAGGGCTTGACGTCTGGGTGGTGCCGGCAGGAAAAGACGTCTGGGTGGCGTCAGCAGGGCAAGGAGCCGGGCTGAAGCTGGCAGGGCAAGACGTCTGGGTGGCGTCGGCAGGGCAAGGAGCCAGGCTGAAGCCGGCAGGGCAAGACGTCTGGGTGGCGCCGGCAGGACAAGGAGCCGGACTGGGACCGGCACTGAGCGGCGCTCTGGGGCTGGAGCCGACACTGGAGGGCGCTCTGGGGCTGGAGCCGACACTGGAGGGCGCTCTGGGGCTGGAGCCGACACTGGAGGGCGCTCTGGGGCTGGAGCCGACACTGGAGGGCGCTCTGGGGCTGGAGCCGACACTGGAGGGCGCTCTGGGGCTGGAGCCGACACTGGAGGGCGCTCTGGGGCTGGAGCCGACACTGGAGGGCGCTCTGGGGCTGGAGCCGACACTGGAGGGCGCTCTGGGGCTGGAGCCGACACTGGAGGGCGCTCTGGGGCTGGAGCCGACACTGGAGGGCGCTCTGGGGCTGGAGCCGACACTGGAGGGCGCTCTGGGGCTGGAGCCGACACTGGA